GATCCAAAGTAATGGACCCCAGTATAGTGTAGAGCCAGTATACCACTTTGGGGTTAAGCCCCCACCTTACACCGACAATACGTCTACAGGCCCACATTGAATTGCGAGCCTTGCTAACCTTGTATTCAACAAGGCTCAAAACAAAGTTTGGGTCTTTGATGATGAGGACACACCCGTAGCTGTCAGAAAATCCGGATCTGTTCAGAAATAAATGATAGGTGTATTTTTCAAATCGAGCGGGATTGTGGAGCGTGTCGTTTTGGACACATCGAAGACAGTTACAGCTAAGTGATACACGAAACAGTGCCTGCCTAAAGTTATAGAGTCTATGAAAAACCTGCGGCCAAAGACAAGAATGGACACTTGGTACCTCCACCATGGCAACGCTCCAGCTCAGCGCGCCCAAGCCTGCACCGAGTATTTGACCACTGCTGGACTGAAACTTATTGAGAACCCTCCTAACAGTCCAGATCTTGCTCCCTGCGACTTTGCATTGTTTCCGCATGTGAAAATGAAGCTAAGCTAAAGGGAAAACGGTTTTCTAGCGATGAGGACCTTCTGAGGGCTTGGGTCAACGTGTGTGCCGCACTCCCGGGTGAAACTTGGCAGAGCTGGTTCAAGGACTGGTTTTGGTGGATGGAGAAGTGTATTCAATGAGGTGGAAATTATTTTGAACGAAGTCAATAAATAAAGCTGTATTGCAAAACTTTTATAGTACCCTTTGTATATGTGGTTTCATTGGCTAAGCATGGGGGATTACCGACATGAAAACCACTCGATAAGTTATAAAAAGGGTAACAGATCAATAGGAGATTTAGTGCAGGTATCACTGAGCTGAGTCTTTAGATTACAATATTACAAAGACATGGATAAAATAAGCTACTGGACATTTGGTAGGTTATCCTTCTCCAAGGGGTCGGCCTGGATGTTCTTGAAAACTATAATACATTACATAAAGGAGATCCGAAATGGAAACCAGGAACTATTGAAAAGTTGATGGCTGTAAAACAAGAGAACTGAAAATCGAATCCTCACAAAAGGAGATATTTCCAAGAAAATCGAAAACATTCCAAAACAACACGTTAAAGTAAAAGCAACAATAAATAGAGTAACAAAAATTAACAACGATTTACATGTTTTGGAGGTCGAAGATTTTAATAACAAGCTATACATAATAAAAGCCAAGGGGCCGGCAATCTCTCCGAAACAAAATAAATTATTTTTAAACAGTGACTTGAAAATATACTAAGTGACATATAAATCCGAACACCCAGTTTAAATGGTTTTATTTTAATAAAAGTTGGTGAATGTATTTATCTTACTTTAAATAACAAGTGAAAAAATTTTCAGCCTTATCAGTTGGACATTCCGGTTTTTATACTGTTTTTTTTAATTCACTAACGCTCTAAAAATGAATATTTCAGCCGCAGTAAAGAATCAACGTTGGCGGATTTTGGTTCTTGACATCCTTTACGATCGGTTACGATGCCTAGAGTACGGAGACCTGTACGATTTCGTCAACTTAGTGAGTTTGATAGGGGTCGTATAGTGGGACTTCGGGAAGCTAGACTTTTTTTTCGGGCAATTGCAGTTAGTGTGCAAAGAAGTGTAGACACTGTGGTTAGGTGTTGTCAGGCGTGGCTTCGAGAAGGCCGTACGCAAAGAGCAAGGGGCACTGGACGCCGCCGTAGAACAACAGACCGTGAAGATCGCCGCCTAAGTTTATTGGCCTTAAGGGACCGTTTCTCCACTACCAGGTCCATTGCAAATGAATGGTTTGCAGAACACGGAAGACCTATCGGCATGCGAAGTGTTTACCGACGAATGAGAAGTTTTGGCTTGTTTTCATACCGGCCACACTAGGTCCTCCCTTTAACTCGAGAACACCGACGTAATCGCCTTGAGTGGTGCAGACAACGGCCACTTTGAGATCAGGAATGGAACAGTATTGTCTTTAGTCACGAGTCTCGATTTTGTTTAGGCATGCACGATGGTCGTCCCAGGGTTAGAAGGCGACGTGGTGAAAGGAGGAATACACAGTTTTTTGTTGAAAGACATGTTCATCACACTGTTGGAGTTATGGTTTGGGGTGCTATAGCTTATGGTTCCAGGTCACCTTTAATCTTCATCAGAGGTAACATGAACGCGCAGCGTTATATCCACGAAGTTCTAGAACCCCATCTTTTACCCTATCTTGACACCCTGGCAGATCCAACTTTCCAACAAGATAATGCCCGACCACATGTTGCAAGAGTCACAATAGACTTCTTTCAACATAATGATGTCACATTGTTACCATGGCCACCAAGATCTCCCGACTTATCCCCAATTGAGCACGTGTGGGATATGATGGGTAGGAGATTGCTCAATTTGCAACGCCCTCCTCAGACTCTAGAAGCACTTCGAGAGGAGTTGGTGGTTGCCTGGATTGAGATACCACAGGAGGACATTGACAACCTGATCAGAAGCATGCCTAGGCGCGTTGGAGAATGCGTAGCACATCAGGGTGCATCCACACATTATTAAAGGTCAAAGGGTTTTAAAGCAGTGCAATCATTTTTAAATTTTTATCATTTACTTATTATGCTTCATTAAGTACTTATACAAAATTTTATTAAAATAAAACCATTTAAACTGGGTGTTCGGATTTATATGTCACTTAGTATAGTTAAGCATTGAGAAGATGATAAGAAGGGAAGGAAAATGTTCTATTCTTAATGAATAAATCTCAGATGTATTATAATAATTTTCTAATAAACATTTTTCTATCTGCTCTTCCTATACTTTATTGTCAAAATTCCCAGTCACTAAAAGTATCTAGTATTGTGAACAACAGTACGGTCCTAGGTTTTTCTAGATGTACATCCGATACATTATTGCCAAAGTTACAGACTAAGAGCCGTTTTAGAGCCGTTTTAGACACAAGAGAATCACTTCGAAAATTATAGTCATAATTATGCTGAAATTTTTTGCTGTCGTATTACACGTAAAAGAATTCTTGTAAAAATATAAAACTCGTTCTATAGAATATGCGCGAGAATTGGCGCAGAGGGTTATTTCCGTGCATGTCATTATCAAATGTCAACGTCAACAACATAACCTCACTTAACATTTGTGGGTGTGGTCCTGTTCGAGTCGTACGAAGAAGCATTTATTGTTATTATTTATTCATAATGTCGTGGAATCGGGAAGAAGTTACACTGTTGTTTGGAGTACCAAAAATGGCCAAACCTGTACAAGGTGAAGTCACCCAATTACAAAAACAGAAATTTGCGGCGTCAGGCGCTGGATGCGATAGTCCAAGCATTGAGAAGTTTTATAATATTAACCAAGATCTCGATTTCAAAAATTAATTCAAATCAACGACGTCTGTTGTCTTTCCGATTATATTGGACGTCATACCCGTTAAGGTTATGTCCATTCGAAAATATTACTCTAATGCGCAGGCGTATCATATTACTCGGAAATTTTATTTGCTTGTGTAATACAGGTTGTAGAGAAAATCTTCATATTTTTTCCATGCAAATTTTCGGCATAATTATGACCATAATTTTCGGAGTAATTCTCTCTGTGTAAAACGGCTCTAATACAAGGATGTCTCTTGCTAATCCGCTGTTCACCCCAGTAGACGTCAAAACTTAATGGATACTTGTGAAATAGGCTACACAGAAGTTGACATAACCTAATATTATAATGACGGATCCACACGCTGTTTGTCACAAACTTCAGGCCTCTAATGCCGGAACCGCACGCTTGCCAAATCGCCGCAAATCGTCACAAACGCAAACATGCGGTTAGGGCGTTTGGCTTGGTTTGCGTAGGTTTGCAAGCGCTTGTAGCCGATCCGATCGGGTGTCGGATTTTTGGTCGCGAATCAAAAAGCGTTTGTGACACATCCATACGTTTGTGATAGGTACTATTTTTGAAACTAAATATCAATTTCATTAAAACAAATACCATTTACCTGGTACGATTCATATGAATATTTCTGTGGCTTGGTCGAACAAGGGCCTATGTACAAATTCGCAGAAATTTAGCTAGAGGGCCTATCTTACTGATCGAATGACTCTCTTTCCAATGAAAATGGTCCCAAGAGAATAATCCTAGTAGATTTCGATAAAATCCATGTGACAAGGGCGCAAGTGTGTGGGCCTAACTACAAGATATAAAATGTAAAGTCCAATCTACCGTTTGCGCCTTTTTGAATGGTCCCATGTAACAAATATATTATTAATTTATAAGCATAAAACGGCCTAAGTGACTAATAGGCCCAGAAAATAGAGACCTATGAGACCTTGGGTCTTTAAAATATCCCCTTTCATTTAAATGCTTAGGGCCTAACTGCCACTTATTCAAAGTGCATTGAAATTTCTGGGCCTATGTCAATTTGGGACGTTTCATTATTCAAAAACACACATTTGAAAAGGGCCTCTGTGCAACAGAAAGACATAATAGCTTTCCGCTTTTGGTCGGATTTGCCACATAGGCCTTTTTGAGTTTAAACGTACTTATTGTGTGTATCAGATGTGTAACATAGGCCTCGGCGCAATTGCCGGTAAAAACATAACCTCAAAATTTTATCTAACGAACAGGTGTGTGTGGCACGTTTTTTGTGACTGTTTTGTGATAAATTCTCAATTTTTGCTGCATTCTTTTTTGTTCAAGGTAAGTTTGAGTACTTGAAAGAATGTTTAAGATGTCGTAGAGTATATTATTATTGTAGAACATGCAAACATAAACCAAAAGTTAAAATGTCTTTGTACAATGAGAAACATCAGTCACGAAGCCAGAGGATGGTAGATATAGCTAAGAAAAATAAAACGGAAAATTCTAACATAAATGACGATGTAGCTACCACAACCGATGACAATAAGAAGATTATCATTTTGAAAAATGATGTTATTCAAGTAAGTTTTTTTCTTCGGAGCTGGTATACATAGCGTGTAAAATAGTACCTATTATTTTGGAGCTAAAATTGTAAAATATAGTGATTCTAGAAACCTCATTGTGGCTTGGTTAGCGAGCAAGTTGTTAACAATCAAGATCAAGACGAATACCAGTCTATTGATCAACAACCAATGGAACTTGTAAGAGACTTTGTTAGCGAGGAAGTTGTTAGCAATCAAGATCAAGACCAATACCAGTCTATTGATCAACAAACAATGAAAATTGTAAGTATCTTGATGAGGAAAGTGGAATTAGCTATGTTGTGTATATTAAGATCATCCATCATTAACCTTACAAAAGAGTAGCATTATAAGTTTGAAATTGAAAATACTATATATTCCAGGAACCACATTGTTCCTCTGTGAACCAGCAAGTTGTTACCGATCAAGATCAAGGAAAACTTCAATATATTGATCAACAAAATATGGAAATTGTAAGTTAATTGATTTGAAGGAAAATTTAAACTATAGATTTATATTTTGCAGGACGTAGGGGACAACAAAAGCGACATAACCGATCCTTTTGCTACTGATTCAGATAATTCTTACAGAACAGAAAGTGACAATGAAACCAGCGAGTCAGAGAGAGAAACACAAAAAAGGAAAAAAAGTCAAGAAAAAGAGTCAGAAATGAGTTAGGGTGCCAAGTATCTAAAAGGAAGGTTGCAAGAGCAAATGGCCAAGAATATAAAACAAAAAAGAATAAAATTGTCCAGGCAAAAATCTTGAAAGAACCATGTAGATGCAAGAAAAAGTGCTATGAAAAATTTAGCCATGAGGAAAGGATAAGTATTTTTAAAGACTTTTATTCTTTGACATATAATGAACAAACTCAGATTTTGTCAAGTTCAGTTAGGGAATTTAAAAAGCGTCGATGCACTAAACTTGAAGAAGACAGCAGAAGATCATTTAGTCATACCTATCTACTGAACAAAGGAGGATTACCTATAGAAGTTTGTAAGGTGATGTTTATGAATACTCTGGATGTAAGTTTTAAAAGAGTAACATATACGATTGAGAAGTGTTGGCTTTCTATAAGCGGAATATGTGGACCAGACCAAAGAGGGAAGCATGGCAACCACCATAAAATATCAGATGAAGATAAAAGTTTTGTAATCCAACATATCTCTAAATTTCCAGCTTACAAGAGTCATTATTCTCGATCGCATTCAGAGAAACGATACTTATCTCCCGATTTAAGCATTCAACAAATGTATAGGCTTTATATCGAATATTGTAAAGAAACGGAAAAAACTCCGGTGTCTGACCACTATTACCGAAGTATTTTTGTGTCCAATTTCAACCTTTCGTTTCATCCACCCCATAACGATACCTGCAGCAAGTGCGATAAGTTAAACATCTTAATAAAATCTTCCGCTGATGAAGGACAAAAAATAGACTACGAACGAGAAAAAAAAGAACATTTAGATGCAGCAGAGAAGGCGTACAATGCAAAAAGGATTGACAAAGAAAAAAGTAAACAAGATGAAACTATAGTAACGGCAATGTTCGACTTACAAAAATGTTTACCGACTCCCCACCTAAAAAGTGGAATTGCCTTTTATAAAAGGCAGTTGTGGGTTTTCAACCTAACAATATACGAGGTTACAAAATCCAACGGAAATAGATCTTTTTGTTTCATGTGGGACGAAACCACTTCAAACCGTGGAGGACAGGAAATTGCATCCTGTCTCCTTAAGTACATAATAAACTTGCCCCCAGAGGCAACCTGTCTAAATTTATATAGTGATTGCTGCTCAGGGCAAAATAAAAACATTCATGTTGTTACTCTACTGTCCAAGGTGTTTCAACTTTTGCCACCAAACCACATGCTAAAAGAAGTCCACCACAAATTCCTAATCTCCGGTCATACTCACTTGGAAGCAGACTCGATTCATGCTTCAATAGAAAAAGCTAAAAAGCACACAACAATGGATATAGAAATACCCAGAGACTGGTCCACTCTGGTTCGCAGCATTCAGCGAAAAGGAGGAATTAAAGTCATTGACATGTCTCAGGATGATTTTTACAATATAAGCGCTCTTCAGAAAGCGTATTTTGTGAATAGAAAGAAAAACGCGGACGGAGAGCAAATGTCTTTTTTGAAAGCAAACTATTTCCTCTACACGAAGGAAAACCCTGGAAAAATTTTCTACAAGGAAGGCTTATTGGCAAAAGAAGATTTCAAAGTCTGGGATATAACAAAGAAGAAAAAAGGCCAGCCAGATGAGACACAACTCGTTTTGGAAAGGCTACATAATTTGTACCCGTTGCCTCTTCCAAAAAAAAAAATTGGACGACATTAATACGTTAATACAATATATACACCCAAATTGTCGGCTTTTTTATGCTAATCTCAAATCAGAAGAAACAGCTGCCGATGAAGATGTATGTCCGACAGCTATTTTACAATATGATGAATAAGCCTTTTTTCATTTTTTTGCCATTGTAAAAAAAAGTAAAGTTTTAGTTTATGTTAATATCTAGAAAACAGTTCTTGAGATTATTTCTATACTTTTATAAAATATATGACATTGCCAACTGTGTTTTATTGTTATTGACGCTAAAATAAATCATAATGGGGAAAACGTTTTATAGTCAAAAAAGGCCTAAGTTATACTCTTTCCTACAATGGGGCTTATATACCATTTTCTTGGGCCTACGTGCATATTAGATATAGGGTCTATGTGAGTTAGGCCGAAATTGTAGGGGCCTAACAAACAAAAATATGTGAATAAATGAATACTTCTACGAATTTTCAATATATTTTGGATCATAGCACATCCAGTTACATGCTACCCAAATTTCATTCAATTCGGATAAAGGATTTTTGCGTAAGAAATAATTTTGTTCCAATTCACAAATCCTAAATTATCTCCAAACTTGATTTTCGTAGATTGGCCCTTGTTTATCCAAGCCACAGATTTAACATCCACCACCTTCTTGGTCGTACTTTTCGTTTTATCTGACTTTCTTTTGGTTTTATAATAAAAATAGCTTAAGCCAAATGCTACGGCAGACACAAGTTCGTCATCCGTCGTGTTTGCCTGTTGCCTTTTCAGTGACGTACCCGCAAACGTGTGGACGGCGACGTTTGCTTCTTCAAAAAAAAGGCAAGCGTTTGTAGGGATTTGGAGTTTGCGGCAAATGGCAAGCGTGCGGTTCCAGCATAAAAAGGCTTGGCTTTGTGATAGCTTGCCGAGGTTTGGCAAGCATGTGGATTCACCTTAACATTTAAAAACATTGTCTATACAGTCTTTTATTTAAATCTTAAAAGCAAAACAAATTAAAATAAAACATTGCAACTTACGAGAGCCAAAAGTTCTTGATTAGCATCAATTTCATAAGTTAATTTTCTTGCAAAAATCAACGCCATAGACATCGTGATGCTATATGATACCATAGTAATAATAAACGAATCCAGAAGTATCGATGGTATGAGATCAAATGCTGGTAACTGAGGCTTAGGTAATCTAAAATGAGAAACCAGGTTGAGTATAATTCGATAAAATATTTTTCTAAACGCTTATACAAAAATGGTGTCAAGTAGATTGACTCTATACTTCCTATGCCTTCGTTGGCGGTTTCAAAGAAAAGGGATAAGTCAAATCGTTTCAGAAGGCGAAATAGAATCGTGATTAGATTAGGGAAGATGAATCTTCGATCTCTCAATATCAAACTATATAAAGCAAATCTATCATATTTCTATTTCCATGGCAGATGTAGGGAAAATATGTGCGACTTATTATGTCTAACAAGCGCATAGTATCGCCGAAATCAGCTTCTTAATAATAGAAGGTCTTTAAATACAAACTTACAATTTTCATCTCCTCCAATGTCTGAAAATGAGCAGGAATATCTGAAACGTTGTAACACTATGTTCCTGCAATTTCATTTTCGGCGACTCTGAATTTATTTTCAAAATTTACGACTTAAAGGATGGAAGTATTAAACTCGCAATAATATTCGAAATTCGGTTCACAAGCTTTCTGTTGATATCTGCAAGTCCGTGTTTCTCATCTACGCCGGTTTGTCTCCTGTAGAGGTGTGTCAGTGAGGACACCACCGCAGACCAATTGAAGTGTGTTACCCATTGCACAGTTGGTAGTGGCCTTCACGCCGATGCAGCATCGCGTCGTGCACGCAACACCAACGATTGCAGTTATTTCGAATTATGAGCACATTATACATTTGACCATTTAATTTTACCGTTCTTATCGGGATTATTAACGTCTTTGACTAGTACTGAAGACGTTATATTTACCATCCCGCAAGCGATTTTTATTTTTTTCATGTTTTTGCCACCAGAGGACCGATTTTCAAAAACTAGCATAGTAGTAACATTGTGTAAAAATTTCATAGAAATCCTCAAGTTATAGGCGGTTATAAAATTAGCGGACAGACCCACAGACAAACAGACCGACGGAAATGGTTTTTCGTGATATACGAATGTCATATATCATCCAAAAAACATAATCAATTTCGAAATTTTCCATGTGTACTATATTTCCTCGCCAGTTTTCGCATAGGAAGTAAAAACAAAGTTAATTTGCGGAAAAACAGCACCGAAAACGTAAAAAAGAAATTGGAGAAAAATTATCACATTTGGTAACGAATTTCAAGTACATACTACCCTGTCACATGTTTTGTTTGTAATTACTGCATGAAGTTGTCGCTCACAATAAACTAACGTCAAATCGATAACTGCGTTATTGCTGTAGGAATGTGCCACTTTCGGATTTCAAATGCAGTTTGTTTACAAACAAGGTTAATCAACACACCGCGCGGCGCCTGATTTGGACACTGACTCACATGGTCATAGTACCATAAGACTTCATACCCTTTGACGTAGGAAGGTAGGCAGGCAGAGTTTATCGGAACTTATTAATAATATTAATATTTGATTTACCCTGTGGGGATGAACCCAACCGTCGATATTTGGTAGTTCCCACTAAAATCCATCAAAGTGCTAACTAACGTTCCTAACCCAACAGCTACGAGTTCTATAGGAAAAGGTAGTCTAGTTCTTTTGGCTAACCATGGCTAGAAAAAGTTATAAATGATCTAAGGTGATTATTTTTTTATATTATCAACAACGTACCTTGAAAAGTTCGTTGTTCAGCGATATCAAAATGACAGCCACTGTCGAAACTAACACAGCCGCTGCATTTGCTTTGGGTACTGCCAGAACACTGTCATATATTGTCTAAAAAAAAATAAAGATTATCAAATTATAGAATACAAGATAAGTATCCTATGTATGCGGATCTCAATACCTGTGGGAGATACGGCTTAGGTAAATTCTGAATAAGTTTAGTTCTTTGGGGGTACCTACATGCCGTTGAGAAACGGCTTAGAAATATTTGTTGCTGTTATTAGTAATGCCTTTAGAAAACGAATTCATACTTCATTGCTCCATAAACAAATGCATTATTAGTAGAAAAACTAAATTCCTTGTTTTTACATTATCTGCAATGAACCCAATACAAGTCTGAACATAAGCACTTTTTTATGAGGGACAAAAATATGTAGACAAACTCTTTTCAACATTAGTTCAGTACAGTTTCGTGTCAGAAGAGGCAATTTCTTTCGATGTAAAAACTAAGATCATTGAGTTATACAAAGATGGTCAACGACAAGTCGACATTGCCAAAAATTTGAAGCTCAAGCGTAAAGCAGTTTGAGCAATTTTGAACAAATATAAACAAAAAGGTATCTTGGAAGCCCCTAAGAGAAGTGGTCGGCCTAGAAAACTAAATGCCAGATCAGTTAGATTAATAAAAGTAATTTTGTCCAAAGATCCGTTCAATACCCCAAGACAAATAAAAGCCGAAATCGAGACAAAAGGAATTGCCAGTGTTTCTACGAAAACTATAAGTAGAAGATTAAATGATTTGAATGAATCTCGAGGAAAAACCGTAAGGACCGATTACAATTTGCACGGTTGCATCTTGATTATAGCATCTGTGACTGGAAGAGGGTATGTTTCAGTGACGAATCCAAGTTCAATATGTTTGTATCAGATGGTGTTCATTACGTTAGACGTCCTAGTGAAAAAAGATTAAACCCTAAGTACACTTTGCCCACTGTCAAACATGGAAGCGGCTCTGTTATGGTTTGGGGGTGCTTTTCGGGGTTTGGGATGGGACCTTTACATAGAATAGATGGCATTATGGATAAGTTTGTATACACAGAGATACTAAAGCATGTCATGTTACTCTATATGGAAGACAATATGCCCTTAAGATCAATCTTCCAGCAAGATAATCACGCGAAGCACACTTCAAATCTCGCAAATAACTTCTTTCTGGATGAAAAAATACCAGTTCTCAAATGGCCTTCACAGTCTCCCGATATAAACCACATTGAAAATCTACAGGAATACTTAGATAAGCAAATACGAGATAACAATTATTCAAACAAGGATGAACTTTTTGCCGCTTTAGAGCAAAAGTGGAGACAGATTGATGAATCTTATATCAAGAAACTTCTACAATCTATGCCGAGACGATGCCAGGCGGTAATTGATAATAATGGTTAGGCTACAAAATATTAACACAAACATGGTTGTTTTTCTATAATTCAATGAACTTTGTTTCTTTTTTCTATAATTGTTTTGCTTTGTCTATATATTTGTGTCCTCCATAGTTCCAGTTTTTTCAATTAATTTTTTATTGAAGGGAGTCTAATGAATTTATTTATGTATAAATGAGTATATATATATATGCTATAACGAATTATGTATAAAGGTTGGTGTATTAATAAAACAAGTTAAAACAGAAATTCAGCACAATATTAATTTGTCTATATACTTTTGTCCATTACTGTATCTTCAGATGTAGTACATGCTGTCAATGATTGGGAGTACAAAATCTCTTCTTGAATTATATCTCCGCCATAAACTATTAACTGTGCACAATTAACGATGTCGGTGGATTCAACGCAACTAATGGCAAAAAATGGCGATAATTTTAGTTCGTTAATTATTTATTTGTGACTTTATGTCTGCTGCAATGTCATCGATTCTACGCTTGACTATGTTATTCGAAAGAGAAATAGACTTCATTTTTTGCTCTACATCTCTGCGTGGCTTTTAGGACACGTGGTTTTATTAATTCTTCACCGATAGTATGAGGTTTCTTTTGCTTTGCTATCATAACAGCTATTTCAAATGAAGCTTTGAGATGCTGCGATACACCTGTGTGATAACTTCCCGATTTATCCAGTCTCATCCGCTTGAGTGATTCTGCTTTAGGAGAAAATAACTCTTTCGTCTTCAAAACCAGAGTAGGATGTTGTTGCTTCAAATGTCTGTTTCATTTAGCAATTTGGGTAACATACATTTGTTATTTTTACTGAAGTCCCAGAGATACTAATAAAGCGAAAGTAAATAATAGATTTACACAAAGTGCTTCACAAAAGCATCTGCCTACCAATTCTTCAAGCAGGTTAACAAGCTGAAATTCGAGATAATGAAATTTATAAATGAATATTATTGTAATACCCTGCATAATATGGTAGGTCACAGACAGCTAGTACGTCAGTTTTAGTATTTTTGAGTTCTGCGTGTTAGCTGTCAGTCAGTTGTCAGGTATAGTTGTAGTCACCGATCTCGGCAGGTCAAAGTAAGACTACCAGTATCCCTTTATATACCTCCATCTCCGTCATACATATACATGCAACCTACCCCTGTATGTGAACGTTCGTTCGGTAAGCTCAGACATACGTTTTTTAGTTGTGTGTCTCCGTATCGAAAACTTTGTCGTTACGTATGAGTGCTCTTCAATCATATTTGTCAGATTGGCAACTTACTTGAAATCGGCGTGCAATATGAGTTGTCCTCTTATCAATCTTCAATATAAAATTGTACAATGGCCGGAAATACGATCAATGCAGAAGGCCCACAGCTCGTGCAAAATTTATTAGAATATTTCCAGGAAGAGAATGAAAACAGCGGTCCCCTGTTACCCACTTCAAGCGCCCTGGAGAGAGTAGCATACATATAGATTCGCCTATGGTACGGAGACTCGCACTTATTTCATATGGCGTTGATGACGTAACCGCTAAGAACGGTGACTACAACTATAGCAGGTTAGATATTTTAACAGCTAGTTGTCACTTTTATTTATGTCTAGACTTTTCTATACGATTACTTTTTTTCTAGAAAGTCTTCACATGTTATTAGGATATTCTAGTTTATATATATATACTTACGAATAAAAAACTAAAATTGCCCCTTCTTTTCTGTATGGGCAATCCGAGCAAGTCTTTAACCTGCGATGCGACCACGTGGAAGGCAGCGGCGCACGTGAATCCATTCACTAGGGTATCAGAAAGTAGTTGCGATACTACGCCAAGTCTTAAAAGATACATAGTCAACTGCAGCAGAACATAGAATATGTATATAGTATGTCGAATGCCTAAATTTAAAATTCTATTGTTACTTGATCACTCTGTATATTACTCAATGGGCCTATTCACTTTTTTCATTCTGTTGCAGTCGCGTAGGCCGGAACCAGAATACCGAGGTACTCAAGGAAAATACAGGGCTGTTCTCAAAGTTGGGACTTTCCTTTAGCCGGGGTAAAGATGTTTGAAAAATGAACAGATTTTTCTAGAAACATATACACCAAAGTCTTAAAATTATCAAGTTATCAGGTTCCGCAAAATAAAGAAACAAAAAAAACCTAATCCGATACTGCACCTCGATCAGACCAAATGTGAACACGTATGATGCGCATCAGTACTCAATTCAGACGCTGGCCGCGTTGGTAAACAAAAACTTCACACATCGGTTCTAAAAAAAACAAAACAAAAATGACACACTCACACATCATTGTCGGAGTTGTCCAAAATATTTTAATCTACGGTGAGTGTCTTCAAAAGAGTGCATGCAGAAGAAAGGCTTGGGTATTTCTAGTTTTCTAATCCGTGTCAGCGTCAGCGCTCTCCTATTGTGAGGCTATGTTTCCTGTTTGAATTGTAGGAAATTTCAGCCTAACATAACAAATGACGTTAATCAAAAGCATAAACAATTTGATGCAAATAGATATTTGTAATAGCCTCAACTGACACGGAACAGCAGAAAACTATGAAAATCAAATACGTCCTACAATGACCCCCCTGGATCCATGCTGGTACCTCCCCCCCCCGCACTGCGCCACAAGCTAGCTAGTGCGTCCAGATGATGTAACTCGGTTTTATGACTATTTAACGACCGTCGATAAAAAATGTAAACACACTATAAGTGACTTGACTTTCCACTTCTGCACTTCAAAAAATTTCCATACAAAACATAAACACTTTATACTTAACAAAGAAAAGTGAATAGATCCATTGTCGTAATTCAATACATCTTTTTTATATTATTATTCTGGTAGAATTTTAACGTACTAACCTCTATCAAAGCTACAGTGAACGTGACAGTCATTGCTACTTGAATATTAGTGTAAGATGGTAGAGATGGTTCGTTATTTTCACTTATTGACCTAACTGTTCCATTTTGTAGTATTTCTACTGTACTGTGTTCTGCCACAACTTTGCCTGTCATCAAACACACTACTGCAAATGTTCCTAAAAATACTTTATTCAAGTGAATTTGTAAATCAACGAGGCTTAAATTATGGATGAAACATGCGACGGCAAAGTGAAAAAAAAACGGCTCGAGTCGGCTTTGTTGAAACATACTTTGTGGGGACTTAAGAAACGATGATCTCGAAATTTGCAATATTTCAAATTTCTTTGATAAATGATATTGCTCAAAACATCTAAAATGCTATTTTAGGGTTATATTTTTTGTACTGTGATTGGCATTGCCGTAAGAAGTGTAAGGATCTGTGACAGGGGTCCGACAAAAACTGTATATATGAAGAGGTATGACAATCTATGCATTTTTTACCATTAGTGTGGATAGGTTTGAATGCTTGGCTGTACCGCAAATTTCCAGAAAAAAAGATGTAATGTTGCTTACATATAAGCGTTCCCATGCGTAGCAGCTGTCTTTTTATTCTAGAATTCAAATCAATAATATAAATTTATTTCATTGAAAACATTTGTATTTACCACATCATAAAGCCATTAGTGTATTTACATTTACATTTTACTTTTAAAACGATACTAGGTAACTCAAAACGCTGACTGTTTTCATCAAAACATGGAAATATTTATTAAAAAAATCAAAATTTACGAATCTCGTAATCATCCGTACCTCAATCGATTTTTCAGACACCTCAAAGTATGTTGTACCAATAACTTTTTAATTTTCTACCAGTAATAGAAATTCGACAAAACCCGACTCGTCCCAAAAAACAAATAGTTTTTAATTTTTGGTGCAACACACTGAAAATAAACAAACAAATGTCGTACAAGTCGAGAGAACTAAATAAAAATTCCTTACCCATTGAGACATGCCTCGATGTGCCAAATATAAAATATACTAAGACAGGAAAAAACGCCATGTATATCCCTACAATAGGTGGCACATTCCCTAACAAGGCATACGCCATTCCCTAAAAAAACATTTTTGACTCAATACTAACCATAAAAATCACCTTTTAAGCATCCCACAAACCGGCACGAAATATTCGCTTTGGCTGCGAAAATTTCGCGGCGATGAATTCGCGATCAGATTAAAACGCGGCGGTTTACGGACAGGCTCAGACTTGTGCGAAGCGAATGCGATTGTTCCAGCGTAATTATCGCGGCGTATTTCAGTTCGCCTTTGACCGCGTTTTTGACGCCGTTCTTCAAAAATCCGCAATGGCAAAAACGGAATTATTGATAGAAATAGTGAAAAAGTATCCTTGTTTGTATGATTTGTCGAACGATGAATATAGGAATGTGAGAAAGACAAGATTTGGATGGAAATAGGAAAAGAATTAACTACAAATGGTATGTACCTAATATTTTTTATTAACTTGTTAAATAATTTACAGTCTACACAAATGTGAAAACGAACATTCTATATATTGGGCATAGGCATATCAGAATTAAAATAATTTACGAATTTGTCACGAGTAGAAAATGCTAGCCTTGCTGCCCGCCGAGGATAATTTGCTATATCAGTAAAAGCTCCAAGCACGGGTTCTGGGGGATCTAAGAATTGAAAATATTTGTCATCGCCACTTTTACTTCGTAAAAAATTGTGTAAAACACATGCCGTACGTACAATTAGAATAGTAGTATCTACTTTAGTTTCTAATGGCCTGTAAAATATTCGCCATTTTTGAGACAAAATACCAAACGCATTTTCCACGACCCTTCTAGCTCGACAAAGTCTTACATTGTATTTCTCTTTTCTGACGTCTGTTAAAGTCTGCTTATAAGGAAATGGTCTCATAAGGTATGGTTTTAAAGCAAATGCTTCATCACCAATTAAGACGTACGAGCAGATTTCATTTTGCCCAGGGAGAAATCTAGGTGCAGGGACTCTCATTAATTTTGTTCAAATCGTTTTCCCATGTTTGAGGTTTCGAAAATACCCCCATCACTATTTTTTCCGAAACCACCAATATCAACACATATAAATTTATAGTCCGGGCCAAGAATGGCCATAAGTACTATTGAATATTTATGTAAATAGCACCAGTAATTGGAGCCACTGTTGTTAGGTCTCTTGATTGTTACATGTTTAATTGGGAAATCCCCATCTATTTTCAAATTCTTCAGCACATTTTTTCCATATATTCTCTGTTGGTTCTGGTAAATATATACATATGTTCCATATGTCTGCATATCGCTTCACAGACTTCGGTTACGATTGCACTCACTGTTGTAAAGCCAACTCGAAAGCTATGCCCAATGGTATAGAAGGTGTCACCAGTGGCAAGGAATCTATAAAAAAATCGTTTTTAGGTGATGAAGTAAAAAAAAAGTGGAATAATATCAGAGACACATTTGCAAAATATATAAAATCTACCAAACCAAAGACCAGCCAAGCAGTGGGCAACATAAAAAAATGGCAGTGGGCTGACTACATGGAATTTTTCCGTCCTTTTCTGGCATTTGCCAAAACGTCGTCTAATGTGAAAGATATTGACGTCATACATTATGAGACTGCCGAATTTAACTCAAATATACAGGGTGACTTTGAAGTTGAGTCATTAATTTTCAGATAATGATTGTAGAAGGAAGATAAACCAAAATATGTGTGTAAAAAAAAATTGTTTACCTTGTTTTATAAAGTATCCTCCCGACAAGTATTTCAGTGCGGACCTGTATTTGATCGTGAGGTCTTGGAGCACCGGCATGCAGTCCCCTGTGTGGTCTTAAGTCACCTGATTCACGAGCCCGTTGTACTACATTAACAAAGGCACGAGGGGTTGGTTGCACTCGATTGGGAAACCGATTCGCATAAACATGTGCCATTTTTTATTTCGTTTGAGCCACGCAACAGACACCACTATTCAAACGCGTTACCGACTCACACTGACTGTATACAACTGACTAAAATAATTGTAAAAACATCGTTCCAAATTCTTTCGCTTTTTTGTTTCCGATGCGATGAACCAAACACGAGCACATAATATTATTATTGAGACAGGGCGGTACTCAAACTTCCAAAGGGCTATAACTTTGTTACTTTAATTTTACCAGAAAAATGGTAAAGGAAAAAACATTTCTTTTGATCAGATCTACTCACTGTTAAAATAAATGACTCAACTTCGAAGTCACCACATATCAGGAAAGGGCTGGAAATGTAGAAACCGAAAATTTGGAAGACCGCGGCCATGGAGAAGATGAAAATGCTGATGTAGATGCAGAAGATGCACAGAACGCCTCGGCAACACAGACAGCACCACCTTCGTTGAACACTACAGCAGTGACTACTCCAGGGCACATCTTTCCGGAGACTGCCACTACACCAAAATATAAAACGAGCAGAAAACGCTGTGAACCACCATCTTCGTCTGTACAACTGCTCATTAATTATTTTGAAGGTAAAAAACCTAAAAAAGAGAACGAGGCCATTGATTCACTTTTCTTGGCACATGCACAGACTGTGAAAACACTTCCCTTAAAGCGTCAAGCCCGAATAAAACTTAAAATAGCCGAATTAATAGCGCACGAAGAATTTGAACATATTGAAGAAATGTCTTCAGCGTCTACCCAGAATTCTGCAAGTATGTATGATAGTAGTATGTCGTCCTTCCCAAGCGGCACTGGGTTTACTCCAATAATATACCCAACAGAGGAGGCAAATTCTGCCTCAAATTATTTAGCAACATTTAATCCTAGTGGCAACATGTAGTCCAATTATTACAATAAAATATTTATTTCACGATCCCTGAAGTTTTCGTATTCGATAAGCCTACTAATTTTAATACATATAATTTTTTTACCTGAGTGTAATAGCAAGTCGTTCTTCTGGCGAAATAGCTTCACGATAATTTGTGTCATATTTTCGTATTTCATCTTTCACCAAGTTCAATATTTCATCGAAACACTCTGGAGTCATTCTAAAATATACGTAAAAGCGCTGTTCATCCAGCCGAAGTTGTGGCATCAAGGTATGGTATTCCCCAAATTTATTTCGTTCCAAGTTAATATCATGTACCCACTTCCATCGATTCCTAAACAAAATTGAAAATATTTGTTTTATGTACTTCGTTAAACTTAATACATACCCAACTATCAAATGGCGTTAAATAAACATAACTTACCGTGCATTTTGTTCCTCTTCTAAAGCAAGAAATAGAAGTGCCTCCTCTTCTTCTGAAGACGAGCTCATTGCAAAAGGCAAAAATAAAATGTACGCAACCTGTCGAAACTTTCACGTTCGCGGAGCGAATAAGACGCTTTGGTATGAATAAACAGCCGAAACAGATTGCGAATTTCGCTCTGAATTTCGTTGCGAATACTTCGCCGCGATTATTTCGCGCCGGTTTGTGGGATGCTTAAAAACTACAATGCCCACTCCATTCAAAATTGTTTCCTGTCATTCTCAGTTTCTGTTAAGTTTATACAGGGTGTCCCAATTTTCAGTAGGCATAGAAGTACCACGTATTTTTAGACTCAAAATAAGTCGTGGACACGATTTACCTCTCAAAAGCGCCTCGTTTGTCCGAAAGAGGGCTCAAAGTTTTCTTTCTAAAACAATTTTTTCAGATATTTTAGGAACCTAGGCGTTCTAATATTTGACTTATACGAAAAACTCAATGTGGCTCGAAAACTACCCCACCCTTACATAAATTATAGCAGAATATTTTGGCAACTTTCCCGACGACTCTGGATTTTTTTATTTAGCAGAACCTTTTATTCACTCCATTTTTGTCTTGTATAATAACAAGCCATCTCGCCTATTTTTCGAGAAAAAAAAATGAGTTGCATCGAAAGGTTCCCAAGCGTCTTATTAATTCTTTAAGTGAAATTAGCGAAAATAATCAAGTATGATATTACTTATTACAATTTTATGTAATACATGCAATAGTGTGAATCTTTCGTAAAAGGTGTTCAACGTAACCACCGTTTTTGTTCCTGCAAATTATAGTTAACTTTCTCTAAGATACCATTATTCTTTGATGTATTTGTAGCATTTTGAATCATGCCCCATAGTTGATTGGCCTTGTCTGCTTCAATGTCCACGGAATATTGGGATACCCTGTATTTAGAAATACTTGAAAATGAATATGAAACTACCGTTAGATATACGAGGTCTGTAAATTAAGTGATGAGACTGATTTTGTTTAATTTTTTTATTCAAATATAATTACAAGCTTATATTTTCACCCACAAAATAACTTCCTTCTGAAGCCACCTGAAGCCACATCCTTTGGCTACTAAGTACATTAAGAAATTAAATAATATGGCAAAATGTTGATGTGATGGAAAAGAGATTTATGAACTACTGAACCAAATGTTTCAAAAACAGATCTTCTTCAAATCTGGAAATAACATTTTAATGCCCCCTCAAGTTTAATACGATCAGTTTTTCATAATTTTATAAATTTGTTTTTGGTAAAAATTAAAGTAAATTATTGTAAAAGTATAACTAATATCTGTTTTCTACTTTGAAGAAAATAGGTACGTAGAGTCCAGATTAAAACAAGGTAATGAGACTGATTTTTTCAATTTTTTGTTCAAATGTAATTACAATGTTATATTGTCACCCTCAAAATAACTTCCTCCTGAAGCCGCACAGCGACGGTTCTTCCACTCCTTATAGCAGTGCTGAAACTCCGTAACTGAAACAGCCTTCAGCTGCTCGGTTACAGCCGTTTGAATGTTTTCGACTGTCCCAAAATAAATTCCCTTGAGGTGATTTTTCAACTTCGGGAAGAGAAAAAAGTCACAAAAACTCAAGTCAGACCAATAAGGAAGCTGAGGAGCCACTGGAATATTTTTTTTGGCCAAAAACTCGTTTATTGACAATGCTGTGTAACAAGAAACATTGTCGTGATGCAACATGCAGTTGTTCTTGATCTGATAAACGGTGGTGTCAGTAAAGTTTATCTCTTCCCTGATCATTCTGACTGTCAACCGACGATCTGAATGCTCAAGATCCCGGATTATGTCGATATTTTCATCGGTTCTTGAAGATGAAGGCCTTCTGCTTAGTGGTTCATCTTCAATCGACTCTCTCCCTTGTGAAAATGCCTTACTTAAACCAACGAAAAACCTGAGCTCTTGAGAAAACACTATCTCCGTAAGTCTATTTAGCAAGAGTGTCCGTTACCCAAGTCTGAAGCAAAACCTGATAGCACTTCGTTGCTTCAAATTGATGTCACCCATTTTTATAACACAATAGAAAAAATCGTTTCACAAAAAAATTGCTACGGATAACCAAATGACTCGAGCGAGTTCAAACTTCTACTGAACGCGGATCACATGTTCTCCTGTCTCCCCTTCAAGTCCGTGCCTCCAGTATTGCCAGATCGAACACTACGTTACCAGTCTCATCACTTAATTTACAAATCTCGTATGTCGTCATGTAACTACCCCTCCGAAACTATTCCAATAATGGGAAAGATATTTGAAAACACTACCAGAATGGAAACAAACGTTGGCACCTTGCTCCCCTAAAAATGACATGGACCAGACCGCAGGCCAAATCTAGCTATCTATTGTATCCATTTGACACCAGGCTACTAGATATTTTAAAATACTTGTATAAAGGTCACTATACAGGGTATAACTTTCAATGATAGGGTGTAACCACAAGGGCGCATAACAGCATTTAAGTGAAACAGTTCATATAAACATGTGCTCTGAAAAGTCCAGTTTCAAGATACAGGGTGTTTAAAAAAATGTGTTTTATTAATATCCCAAAGGTACTTTTGCTGATTTTGGCAGTGTTGTTCATTGCAATAGGACGCTAAATCAACACTAACCAGAGCCAGCGCCACCTTCAACTAACGAGCCATGAACAGTAGATATGGCAACGCAGCTTTGGGGTCTTCCACAGACAGGTGTTTGGCGGGCTTTTCGTTTGTTTATATTCCTAACCTCCGACTTTTTGGTGCAATTTTGTTGTAAATCTCAGGGAACAGTGCAATTCATACAAACCAGAGTAATCTACTTAGTTTTGCTCTTCAAACCGTGCAGAAAGTATTTATTTTAGGTAGTATAAAATCATCATCAATAATTTTCCCGTTGTTACCGGGATCAGAAGCTTCTTAATGATAGAACGTCTTTGAGTAATGCGTTATTAATATGTTACATTTACAACCCAATACTCCCTATAACCCGAAGTTTCAACTCTTAAAAAAAATCCGAAAATGATCAGCAGCCTCTGAAACGTCAAAAAACGAAGTTTAAGCGATTTTTATTATTTAGTGTTTTCGATCGTTGTAAAGATGTTCTGAACGTATTTTTGACTTTCCGTAGCAGTTTGCTACTATATTTCCTCTGCCAAAAGGTACATATTGTACTATTAAACTTTAACATCCTATATCATCGAAACCAGACTTTTCAGGACATGTTTATATGAAATTTTCTACTTGAATTCGGTTCAGAAATGCACACTTAAATAACACCTTGTATATTGAAAACATTAAAATGGTATATACTAAGTGACATATAAATCCGAACACCCAGTTTAAATGGTTTTATTTTAATAAGTATAAGTACTTAATGAAGCATAATAAGTAAATGATAAAAATTTCAAAATGATTGCACTGCTTTAAAGCCCTTTGACCTTTAATAATGTGTGGATGCACCCTGATGTGCTACGCATTCTCCAACGCGCCTAGGCATGCTTCTGATCAGGTGGTCAATGTCCTCCTGTGGTATCTCATTCCAGGCAACCACCAACTCCTCTCGAAGTGCTTCTAGAGTCTGAGGAGGACGTTGCAAATTGAGCAATCTCCTACCCATCATATCCCACACGGGCTCAATTGGGGATAAGTCGGGAGATCTTGGTGGCCATGGTAACAATGTGACATCATTATGTTGAAAGAAGTCTATTGTGACTCTTGCAACATGTGGTCGGGCATTATCTTGTTGGAAAGTTGGATCTGCCAGGGTGTTAAGATAGGGTAAAAGATGGGGTTCTAGAACTTCGTGGATATAACGCTGCGCGTTCATGTTACCACTGATGAAGATTAAAGGTAACCTGGAACCATAAGCTATAGCACCCCAAACCATAACTCCAACAGTGTGATGAACATGTCTTTCAACAAAAAACTGTGGATTCCTCCTTTCACCACGTCGCCTTCTAACCCTGGCACGACCATCGTGCATGCCTAAACAAAATCGAGACTCGTCACTAAAGACAATACTATTCCATTCCTGATCCCAGAGTGACCGTTGTCTGCACCACTCAAGGCGATTACGTCGGTGTTCTCGAGTTAAAGGGAGGACCCAGTGTGGCCAGTATGAAAACAAGCCAAAACTTCTCATTCGTCGGTAAACACTTCGCATGCCAATAGGTCTTCCGTGTTCTGCAAACCATTCATTTGCAATGGACCTGGTAGTGGAGAAACGGTCCCTTAAGGCCAATAATCTTAGGCGGCGATCTTCACGGTCTGTTGTTCTACGGCGGCGTCCAGTGCCCCTTGCTCTTTGCGTACGGCCTTCTCGAAGCCATGCCTGACAACACCTAACCACAGTGTCTACACTTCTTTGCACTCTAACTGCAATTGCCCGAAAAGAAAGTCCAGCTTCCCGAAGTCCCACTATACGGCCCCTATCAAACTCACTAAGTTGACGAAATCGTACAGGTCTCCGTACTCTAGGCATCGTAACCGATCGTAAAGGATGTCAAGAACCAAAATCCGCCAACGTTGATTCTTTACTGCGGCTGAAATATTCATTTTTAGAGCGTTAGTGAATTAAAAAAAAGCAGTATAAAAACCGGAATGTCCAACTGATAAGGCTGACAATTTTTTCACTTGTTATTTACAGTAAGATAAATACATTCACCAACTTTTATTAAAATAAAACCATTTAAACTGGGTGTTCGGATTTATGTCACTTAGTATAGTAGTAGTGTCAGTGGTGGAAAAAAAAGGAGGCTATTATTATGCTCGATCAATAATGCCTCACTTCTCAACCTAGCTACGTAATGCACTATGTACTATTTACTATTTTTGTCCTACCTGAGGTATGTGCATTATAGATACAGTGATTCCACTTATAAGATCGCCTACAAAACTTTTCTTCCAGCTGTAATTCGGCAGCCATTGTAAGAGAGGCACCGTCCTTTTTATACAGTCAAGTCCACAGTAAGACCGGCACTGTTCGGCACATTTATGCTTAACTGTAAGTTAAGGAAATACGAAGGTAAATCAGATAATGTGGTTCCGCCTTATACCAATATAACAACACTATCAACCAGGGGCGGCTGGCCCTTAAGTTCTGCAGAGCTGCAGAACTGCCAAAACTTTTGTCTTAACAGAAAAAAGCAGTAGTAATTTGATCATTATTTATTTTCCATGTTATCACACAAATAGAAACAATACCGGCCTGCCCCCGCAAGAGATGGCGTCGAGTCTGTTTTGTACTAAGAAAGTATTATAATCGATCAATTGTGTACTTGTCATTTTCGTCGCGACCGCAGCGTAACATTATTCATGGGCCACTTGAAAAGGGTCTGTGCACTACTTCGACACAAGCCGCACGGGCGCGTTTTTGTGTCTCTCTACATAATCAAATGCGCCATTTAAGCATAACCATGTGCTGCAATTTATACAGATCCGTACAGATCTAATGCGAAGTACGATGTCTGATTGGTCGGTCGATGCTCGGTCCTCGGCATTGGCATATTGGTCTTGCCGCGTGACGTGGCTTAAAATTTGAATCCGAACAATTTTTTATTTAGGTATTTTGGGTCTTACGTTGAGTGACTAGTGACTCACTGACTGACTGTGGCTGTGTAGAAGGGTAGTGCAAGACAATGGATGTGGTTTACAGACTTATCAGCGTGAAACGATTCTGAAAACACACATTTGAAGAAAAAATTGAGCTGAAGGTGTCAGGTCGACCGCTGCCGGACATATTTATAGAAACACAGGGCGTTAGTCGGGGCAAGGGCTATATGCGGCATTTCAGCAGGGAGATTTACACCAGAAATGACTGGATTTGTGATTAATTTTTCTGCTGAGCTTGATACAACCTTAAGCGAACACATAAAAATGCTTCAATATTTAAAGGAACTTCGAAAGAAATACAAAATAATCTACTGGATTGTATTCTTGAAGTTTGTCATGAAGAAATAATACAACAGATTAACAGAGCCTCGTATTTGGCGATAATAGCAGATGAAACAACGGACATTTCGGGGAAAACCCAACTGGTAACAATTTTCAGATACGTATTTAACGGCGAACCAGCAGAACGTTTTTGGAATTATATGAATCCCGAATAATGTGACGCTGATACTCTCATAAGACATATTTTGAGCGTCGTAGATCCATTAATAGGAAATTTCCCTAACAAACTGATTTCACGATGATGGGGCCGCGGTAATGAGCGGACATAATTTATTTATTTATTTATTTATTTATTTATTGAAATCCACCACCAACAGTGTTAACCAATTACTGGTGGCAAAACAACAATAGAAATAATAAAAAAACATATAAAAATACAACGAAAACTAAAAACTAAATCATTTCACTGCAAACTCTCTTAATATTCGAAATACTTGTGTTGAACAAATCAAATGTACTCTGTAGACTATTATAACATGAACACATCGAGTACAAAGGTGAGTGCAACAGTAAGTTAGTTCGTGGGGTAGGTAGGTAAAAAGTGAGTGTATTGCGAGTAACAAATTTTGGAGCATTAAATTTAATCTGTGCTAGAAATGATGGACAATCATAACTGCTATGCACTACTTTAGGCAGGAATATTGGCGAGTGAATCTTTTTTCTGTTATCAAGACTGATAAACTTGTGCTTACGTAACAGGTCTTCCTGTGGGACCCCAATGGGTGGGTACGTACCGTCAATTTTGAATGAAAGAAATTTCAGAAATTTCCGCTGAATCTTCTCCAGAGAGCCACAAGTTGTACCATAGCATGGATTCCATATTAGCCGTCCATATTCTAATTTAGACAGTATGAATGAATTATAAAGCATAATCATGGCATCTTTGTTACTTAATTCCTTTGAGTTACGTATTACAAATCCTAATAATCTGTTGACAGCATTAATAAGGTACTCAATATGAGGATTGAAGCTAAGTGACATGTCAAAAATCACACCCAGGTCCTTGCATTCTTGTACTCTCAGCAGAGAATGATTGCCAATTCTGTAGTCAAATGCAATAATATCTAGCTTTCTGGTGTAAGACATAACACTACATTTACTGTAGTTAATTGGAAGTCGATTTACAGCACACCATTTAACTATTTTGGCTAGGTCTTTTTGTAAGTGAGCACAGTCAGTGCTGCAGTCGACATTCGAAAAAATTTTCGGATCATCAGCATAGATTAAGTGGCTGCTGTCGATGTCGCTAACAATATCGTTTATGAACAGTATGAAAAGCAAAGGACCTAAGCAGGAGCCTTGAGGTACCCCTGAGGTTGGGAAGAATTCAATGGATTTGACACCCTCATATTCAACATATTGCTTTCTTCCTGATAGATATGACTTAAGAAAGGATAACAGCTTGGGGGAGAATCCAAAATAGCTCAGCTTCGTTAACAGAATACTGTGATCAAGTTTGTGAAATGCTTTACTAAAATCTGTATAAATTACATCCACCTGGCTATTAGCATCTAATGCAGAGGAGACTGACTGAGTAAAACAGGCTAGGTTAGTTATGGTTGATCTACCCTTCATAAAGCCATGCTGAGAAGTACTTATTTGGAAATGTGTATTGTGGTATAGGAAATTATGAAGCAAAGTTTCTAAGGCCTTGGAAAAGATACATACTAGGGTTATCGGTCTATAATTTTTAACCTGTACTCTATCGCCCTTCTTGAAAATGGGACGCACCTTTGATTCGCCCCAAATTTCAGGAAACGTGTCAGTCTTTAAACATAGGTTGAAGATCTTTGTCAAGGGATGAGCTAAGACGTAGGCACAGTCACGCACTAAAAATGATGGGATTCCATCGGGTCCGGAGGTAAATTTATTTTTCATTTGCTTTAACACTGTAAAAACTTTTTCTTCGGAAAAGCTCTGAAGTATTATGTTAGTATGCAAGTCCGAAATATTGATATCAGTTGCGTTCGAAGGCATAGTATATACAGATTGAAAAAATAGCGCAAAAGCATTAGCAATTTCATTGGGTTTGTCATACTGCTTACCATTATAGTTTACTTGGCTGATTGTGGAATTTTGTCCCCTTTTATTACAGATAAATGACCAGAAATTGTTCGGATCCTGAGATAGGCTAATTTGGATATCTACTAGATATGCTGGAGTACAAGCAAAAATTAAACAAAGATATCCATTTGCTCACTATGTGCATGCCATGCGCATCAGTTAAACCTGATTATATCTGCTGCTTCCGAAAATGCTCAAGTTCGGGTGTTCTTTGGGGATTTGAAAGATATTCCGGGATTTTTTAATAATTCTCCTCAACGCGTAGAGGTACTGAACAGAATTGTGGGGAAAAAATTCCCCAAGGAGCAACAACTCGGAATTTTAATATTCGAACAATAAATGTAGTGTTTGAGAACAGAGAACCACTCATTGAATGCATGGAAGAAATAGAATAAAATTTCACTTATGAAACCGTTTGCAAGGCAGCTTGCGGACATTTTTCCATCATGTCATGCCTCACGTCGACATCTTGTTCAACCAGTTGCAGAAGAGAAAAACCGGGCCAGCGCAAGTTAAAACGGCTATCGATAATTTTGAAAAATGTATTGTCGATGTGAGCAATAAAATTGATGACATAATAAATGAAGCCAAAAGTATTTGCACTGAACCCCAAGGCAACAAAAGGAGACGACGTAATAATAGCAGTCACGATCACCGAGTTGCTGCATTAGAAGTATGCGACAATATAGTGAATTCTGCAAAATGATAGATTTCAATTCAAAGATCATTTGGTAGTCGCATCCCTTTTTTCCCCGAACACTTTGGAGAATACTGTGGTAAGTTTCCTGATGACAAGTTGGAAACTACCTGCTTGGCTTATCCCGAATTAGAAAAAAGTCGTTTAAAGACAGAGTTGTCCGTTATTTATACACGGAATGATTGCCGAGATTTACATGATACATGATACAAAATAGTTTGGAGGAAACACTAAAAGAAAGAAAAAAGCTATTAGAAATTATTGTTACAACTCCTATGTCAACATCAGAGGCTGAGCAAAATTTATCAACGTTGAAAAGAATCAAGCCCTTTCTTCGAAATACTATGACTCAGGATCGCCTTACAGCGTTGGCGATGTTGTCCATTGAAAAGGAATTTATTTCGACCATGGAAAATTTCGACGGGAAGGTGATCGACAAATTTCCTGCCAAGAAGTAGCGCAGGATCGAACTGACATATAAAAAAGGTAAGTTCGGATTTGCAGAACACCTGATTTATTTTGCCACTGCTATCAACTATTATGGAAAGTAACTACTTTAAAAAAAAATAGGTACCCTCGTAAATGGCAAACAATCATAGTGTATTTCTTGGCAGAACTCCTACATTATTTCCATTGAGCTTCCGAATTTCCAGAATTCCGTCGATAGATATCAATATAACTACTAATGTATCATGATCTATATTATGAAGATAAAAACACAATTTGTCTGTTTTATGATCATCCCATCTCAAACAAAGATTTAAGTATCAAGTCAACAACATAATCATTATAACGCTTCATAAAACAATTTTTAATAGCTATAATTCTTTCTCAAATAATAATAAAATATTTGCAAAAAGAATATGCAAACTTCTGGGAATTATACAGTAAATATTTAATTTGGAACATTCCAAGAAAATTTTCCGATATAATTTCATTGATATCGCTTGGAATTTTATGAAAATAACGATTCAAAAGAAAAACAATGATTTTCGATAAACTGCAGTCACTTACAAGTATCTGATGGTCTTTGGTAAAGATGGTCCCTGTTCAGTTCTTCAATTTGGTAGACTGGCCTTTCGATTTGTAAAGCTGTTCTTCCACGGTCATTATGTTTCATAATACTGAAAAAAAAATAGCGTCAACTAGAATGACTCCGACATCCGACATTATACTCTGAACTCTCAGCTTTCGTCCGTTATCCACCGAAGCCAAGCCTTCACCATGCTGACCTATAAGTTTGCTGTGAACTATACTATAGACAAATCATGATAATTAACAACTTTTCAAAGGCTTTTGAGTTTCTTATATATGATGCAGTTTACTGGCATGTGCATAATACTTTATCAACTCAAATCTAACACATATAAAATTGCATCAGGTGCTCCCCATGGGTCTGTTCTGGGACCATTATTTTTCATTATTTTTATAAATGACATTGAACTACAATTGGATGTCACTTTTCTTTTATATGCGGATGACCTGAAGCTTCTCTATCCCATTCAATCTCTAACTGACTGAAAAGTTACAGCATAACGTAAACATGCTCAACTGCTGGAGTCAGGAAAATAGTTTGCCATTGAATGCGGATAAGTGCAATGTGGTCAGTTATACGAACAAGACACAGTACACAGTACATGGGCAGTGGCTTAAAAAATGTACCACTTAATCAAATGCATATTGTATTAATGGCAGCGGTCTAAATCGTCGACCAACGGTGATTGGCGCTTACTTGATGCTAGGGAAACGCATTCTTAGTATTCTGCCGGCGGCGTTCAATGTAAGCTGGTTTGAGGTTATGTCAATTGTTTTCATACGTAAATTATAGTGTTTTTAAGTTCAGAGGTGAACAAAGGTAAATAAAATATAGAGCTTTCTTGTTGCTTGCATGCTGAGTCAAACAGTACAATCTGTAGAATATACAAATGACAAATAACTACGGTTTAATTTTTTTTTTGCTTTCATAGCCTACGAATTGTTGTGGTACGATATTTGTACCATCGCCCCTAAACGTTTTGTTTGCAGGTGGAATCAATCCATTACCATGAATGAATTACCTTTCAAGTTAGTCGGCATGACGTATGATGTTGTTGCACGAGATCGAAAATTTGGACGCAGATCCTATACCTTCTGATTCTGAATCAATTGTGGATGTATCTGAAGATGAATATGAAATTACATAAAGAACCAATGCTGATTTGAATATAGCAGACACCGATAGCGATTTAGACGACGAACCACTTGCAGTTTTACAAGCACCAGAGATTGGTCAACCAGTACATCATCAAAGAGCCCTGAAGATTTTGTTGCCGATTCTGGAATCACAAATATAGTGAAGGATTTAGAATCACCCACACCTGGGAAATTATTTCAGCTGTTTTTTGACGATGATCTGTTAGATTTAATTGTGTTTGAGACAAATTTGTATAGTCAGCAAACATCTATCAAACCCAAAACCACAAACCGCACGGAAATCAAAACTTTTCTAGATATCAATTTACTAATGGGGCTGAAGAAATCACCCAGCTATAGAGATTACTGGAGCAGTTCCCCGGAATTTCGCGACTCGTATATAAGCTCCTTGATGCCTGTAAAACGATTCAGTTGGCTTCTTTCCAATATCAACTTGAATGATAATGCAATAATGCCAAAAAAGGGTGAAGCTGGTTACGATAAGCTGTATAAGCTAAGGCCTTTGCTAACAGAATTGTCTCAAAATTTTGAACGTTGCATGAATCCAACCAGGGAGGTAAGCATTGACGAATCAATGATTAAATACAAGAGTAGGAGTTCTCTGAAGCAATACCTTCCCAAAAAACCGATCAAGAGAGGGTATAAGGTATGGATACTGGCGAACAAGAATGGATATTGTCAGAAGTTTCAGATATATACAGGAAAATCAGAAGATACAAAAAAATCTTTAGGTGCAAGAGTAGTAAAATATCTCCTCAATGGCATGGAAGACAAGCATCACATTGTCTACTTCGACAATTTTTTTAATAGCATCCAGCTCTTAGAAGATCTGAAAGCAAAAAACCTTCACGCTTGTGGCACAGTCAATCCGAATAGGAAATTACTTCCCAATTTCACAAGTGATAAAGCTTTAAAACGTGGTAAATCTCAGATTCTAACATCGAACACTAATTTGGTAGCTATAAAATGGCGTGACAAAAGAAGTGTTCACCTTTTATCAAATTTTCATGATCCCACAGGTTTTACAGACGTTGAGAGGAAAAACAAAAATGGCGTCATTGAGAAAGTCCCCTGTCCGATTGCATTGATCGATTATAATCAGAACATGAACTTTGTAGACAAATTCGATCAAAATCTTCACGTTTATAAGATTGACCGGAAAGCATTTTCTTCTATTTCCTCGATGCAGAACTTGTACATTCGTTTGTCTTAATATATATATATATAATAATAATATATAATAAAGAACTTAACATGACAAAATTGTCAATGAAGGACTTTAGAAGAGAGGTGATTAATTTCTTGGTTGCAGAAACCATCGTGGCAAAAAAAAGACAATCATCTTCATCTACTGGTGTGGCTATAAAAAAGCAAAAACCATATGTGCCTGTGGAAGTGAGAATCACTGAGAGTGCGCATCAACCTAAAAGGGACACCAGACGCCGATGTGCTAGGTGTAGCACCTCAAAAAAGCAGGTTAGGACTGACTGGATTTGCTCAGTGTGCGAAGTACCTCTTTGTCTAGGAAAAGACAAAACTTCTTGCTTTCAAGATTATCATAGAAAATAATTTATATTTTAGTTTCGTTATTGTGCGCTGGTACATAAACTGTACTACCAGTTTTACCACAAAAATTGTTAAAATAACTATTCTAGTTTATTTTTTATGTAGTTTTATAACATTTGTTTAGCTGTTTTGATGCTTTAAAGTTGAATAAAAAGACTTATAAATTCTTGCCCCTCTAGGACTTTTTTTTATGAATATATCTTGCCCCTGAAAGAGTTAATCGATTGCATAAAATAAAGGATTTAGGTGTCATTTTCAACAGTAAATATTGCTTCAATGGTCATATAGATTCAATTATTGCAGAGAGTTACAAAAAGCTGGGCTTCATCATACGCTGTGGTTGCGAGTTGCAGGATATTAAAACAATTAAGCTTCTATATAACTCACTTGTAAGATCGAAGATTGAATATGCGGCAATTATTTGGCAGCCCTCCTACTGCTTCTGGATAGACAAACTCGAAAATATCCAACGGCGTTTTTTGAAGTACCTTTACTTTAAGGAAAATGGCATCTACCCACCGATTGGCTATCCACGAGGGTCTTTAGAGGAAGCTTTCGATTTTCAAAGTCTTAGGGAGAGGCGTGATAAGTGCAGTGTTAAGTTAGTGACTGATATATTGCACAATCGTATTGATTGTTGCAATATATTGCATGATTTTAATTTCCTTGTCCCGTGTTTGAATGCTAGACAATGCAATACCTTCTATTTGACAGTATATCAAAATAACGACATTTCTCAGTGTAGAAAATGCTACCGTTTTAATCATACAGAAAAAAATTGCAGGAATGAGAAGATATGTGCCAACTGTGGCGACGGTCACGAAGGAGAAAATTGTAAGCATGTATCAATAGAATGCTGCAACTGTAGATATGGAAATGAAAGATATAAAAAAAATTATAATATTAACCACTCACCTACCGACAAAAACTGTCCATCGTACAAATATTATCAGGAACAACAAAACTTAAGGATACTTTTTTAAAATTCAAGTTCATCTTTTGATACACCTATCTCTAAAGAGGACCTAAAAATGTCAGTGAATAAATACATTAATGATTTCCAAATTCCAAATATTGCAACAAATATAGCACAAAACGTCGATGAACTTAATTTATGTACACAAAATTATGATGCAAAATTTCGAATTTTTAATATGAACATAAGGAGTATAAAACACAACATTGATTACTTAAAAATACTACTCGACCAAATATGGTACAATTTTAATCTAATAGTTTTAACTGAAACGTGGCAAGTGGTTGATATTTCTTGCTTCAATCAGCAGGGATATGACACGCTGTATAACTTTGGCACTTATAACCAAAACGATGGGGTGATAGTTTTTGTAAGAAATGAGCTACAATATAATCATGATACATTCACTTTCACCGATGGAATCAAAATTTTAAACATAATGATCCAAATTAACCATAACAAAATTGAGGTATCTACAATTTATCGTCCGCCATGTTCAGAACCCCACGAGTTTTTGAAGAATATCGAATTTTTTTTTCAAAATCAAAATAAAGTTCATTTAAAGCAACATATTTTCTTGGGAGATGTCAATATAAATATTTTGGACGATGATCCCATCACAAATGAATACTTGAATATCCTATCAAGTAACGGATTTCTGTCCTATATAAACCTACCTACAAGGTCCATCAGTGGCACATGTATAGATCACTGCTTTGTGAAAGACCTATCCAACAAAATTACTTGTATACCAATAATCCTAGAAAGCGATATTACTGACCACTTCTCCACTATTTTACTGATATCTTCAAATGAAAAACATTCTAACATCCCTACCGTTAATAACAACCAGGAAAATTACAAATTTTTTGTCGACAATTCAAAACTAATATCAAATGTCAAACAAGAATCCTGGGAACAATTATACTCTATAAATAATATAGACAAAGCAACGGGACTGTTCATAGAGAAAATAAAAAAACTAATAGATATTAGTACCAATAAAGTAATAATTAGTCACAAAGAGAAAAGCAGAAATGCCTGGATTACCAAAGGATTAATAACATCGGCAATAGAAAAAGAAAGACTATATAATGTAATGAAACTAGCGCCAACTACAGAAAATACCGACTGTTACAACCAATATAAAAATAAATTTATAGAGGTTGCAAGGCAAACCAAACGAAAACATTACCTAAATAAATTGAATAATAACTTAAATGATCCTAAGCGGCTTTGGACAACTATTGATGAGATTACTGGGAAAACAAAATTTAAAGAGTGTGTCACTTTAAATACAACATCGGAAACAGTATTAAAAAATACTCAACAGATATGCGATGAATTTGTACAATTCTTTACTGACATAGGCGAAAATTTAGCAAGTAATATACAAGCAAATGTACAAAATACTCAGCCTCCAAAAAGAACTTTGAACTCATTTATTTTGGATAAAGTCTAATAATGTGAAGTATAAACCACTGTTATGTCCTTAAAAAATCGGAAAAGTCCTGGGTTCGATGGTATTAAAAGCGAGCATTTGAAAATTATAGCCGAGGACATAACAGAACCACTCACTTACCTAATCAACAAATGCTTTGAATCTGGCATATATCCCTCAATTTTAAAAAAGGTAATTTAATACCGATACATAAATCAGGAACAAAAACAGATTTTAACAACTATAGACCAATATCAATAATATCCAGTGTAGCAAAGGTTTTTGAAAAAGTTTTATCTACTAGAATGATTCGATACCTCACAAAATTCAAAATTTTAAATGAAAATCAATATGGATTTACAGAAGGGAAGGCTACATCGGACGCAATAACTAAAATTGTAAATCAAATACATCAAAATATTGATAACAGAATCCCTTCAATCTGCATTTTTGTTGATTTAAAGAAAGCTTTCGATACAGTTAATCACAAATTATTATTAGAAGCATTGGAGAGAATTGGTTTCAGAGGAAACGCGTACTCACTGATCGAAAATTATTTGTCAAATCGCCCACAATCTGTGCAGATATCAGGATCATTTAGAAGTAGAAAATTAAGCATTAACTACTCTAAAACACATTTTTTACCATTTGGATCTTATGCTAGACATCTGCCAAATTACACAAATTTCTCGCTCAACATTAATGATCAAAAAATGCAAATTAATAGAGTGCCCAACATAAAATACCTTGGAGTGGTCTTGGATCCTCACTTACGATGGGACATCCATGTCAATTATATTTTAAAGAAAGTTAGATTTGTATCCTACAAAATTAAATACCTTGGGAATATATTGACAGAAAAATATCTTCGAACATTATACCATGCACTGATTGAGCCTCATCTCACATATGGTATATCAGCATGGGGAGCTGCATGTTCCTCACATATCTATAATTTAGATGTTTTTCAAAAAAGTATTCTAAAAATGATATTTAAAAAACCGAAACTTTATCCCACTGAAAAATTATACGCAGATGTTCGAATGTATGATGTAAGACAGCTTTATTTCTTACACAGTATCACTCACTACCATAAATTTGTAAACACCGACCAAAAAATTAATCATAATCATTATACCAGGTACAAAATTCGTGGCACAGTAGTTCCTCAACCGCATAAATCTATAATGCAGCGATCATATCTCTATTTAGCGCCTAAATTTTATGAAATTATACCTAAAGACTTAAAAGATTTACGTTTCGGAAATTGTTTCAAAAGAAATTTAAAAAAGTGGCTACATTCTATATCTAGGACTGAAATTCATAAGCTCATAAATACGAACATCAACTAAATACATAATCTACTGTAGCTAATTTTTGTCATTTTTTGTCATTTGCATTCTACAGTTTCAACTTAAATTATTGGTCCATGTACAGGCGATGCCTTCTATTGGGCCTGTTTTGATTTTATATTTATTTACTCATATTGTTTGTTATCTTTGTACATTGAGTAAATAAATATTATTATTATTATTATTATTATTATTACCCCTAGAACAAATATTTTAAAGTTTTCTCCATTGTATAGCTCATGTGGTAATGCGAATGACATTGCGGATCAATTAGATATATTTCGCTGATGTCTTGTCTGCTGCGTGGTTCCTTATGATGTCTTGTCTGCTATTTGCTATTTAATTTTTTATCTACACTGCCATTTTTGTAAATATTTGCATATAGTATCCTTGTGATTGAACTTCCTACATTTGTGTGTAATATGTAAGATATTGTGTATTTTTGATATTTGGACTTTGTCCTACTCTGTAATTGGCTTTGTAGCTGTTGGGTAGAGTATAAATAAATAAAATAAATAAATAAAATACTGGATCATCTCTAATAATAATAATAAAGCATATATTGCCCAACAGTATACACCATTTACAGAGCAATGAATGAATGAATGTTTTAGAGGAAACTTAGTGCTCTGAAAATATCGGCAAAAAAACGAAAATGGCGGAATTTGTTTTTTGTCAGTAAATCAAAAACAGTTTATTTGACAGCTGTCAAAATGTGACATTATTCGAACGTTTTTTTTAAGGAAAATAAGATAGCATCTATGACATGTCTCAATCGTCTGTTGTTTTCCAGCAACATTCATTTTTCTTATGGCCGCCATGTTTTATAAATATTGTAAATTGGGTTCCATATTAGTGAACAGTATTCTAATTTCTAA